GGTACAACATATACTGGCAGAGCTCTGCTGATGGCAATTGGACCAAACTTAACACTTCCATCACAATAGGACAAGGGGCTGTGTTTAATCTACTGATAGCCAGAAATGGAACAAAGGTAGAGAGCTTTGTTATTCTGATGGATTTCAAGATACATAATAGGCTGTACATGTTTAAAAGTTAGAGAAGAAAGATCTCTGTTTCTATTGAACTGCATTTAATTTCCTTTCTTAATTTATGAAGCGTTCACACAAAACCTCACTTATTATCAAAATTTAGAGTAGGAATTCTTTACTTTAACTCTGATTTCTAAAACATGCAAGTCTCTATTTTGTGGATGAACTTCAATATATAAATAGTGCCTTAGCTTGTGATTAGTTTGAGTATTAGTTTGATCTTTTCATTCCTCTCTGATTTGGTAGGCTGTAACCAGTACCTTGAGGAAAGTAGAGGTAAATAGTGTCTCTGTGCTATTACCGATATTATATCTGTATGTAGGTTGTGACCCGTCTCTTGAGCAGTGTTGAGGTGAACAGTGTCTCTATACTATCTGGATGGTACCTCAGTATTTCATTGTTATATCTATTTAAAGGTTGTGACCCGTCTCGTGACCAGTATTGAGGTGAACAGTGTCTCTATTCTGTGGATGGTACCTCAGTATTTCAATATTATATCTATTTGTAGGTTGTTACCCGTCTCTTGACCAGTGTTGAGGTGAACAGTGTCTCTATCCTGTGGATGGTACCTCAGTATTTTGTAGTGACGGTTGGAGAGGTCCTCTTTTCCATCACAGGCCTCGCTTTTGCTTACTCTCAGGTTAGTATTCCGTGATTTCGTAGCAAATAAACCAGTTACTCTAGTGTAGTAGTAGGATGTTTGCTTCTTGATAAGGAGGCCCAGATTTGATTCTCGTTCACTGCACTGTATCAAACCTTAGACGTAAACGTAGGTAATGACTGTTCCTTTGCCAAGCGACCAGCACTAAAAGTGAGAGTCATCGTCTTTTGGATGAGACCTTAAATTCATTGTAATATCTGGTGGTTGATAAACACAAAAAAATTCCATTTATATATTTTAGGAAGTTTTATGAGTGTAAAATTGTAAATTTACATACCATGTCATTTGTCATTTTAAAACATTTTTTGTAAAAAAGCATTCTTATTGTACATGTATACACAAGTACTCTGAAGTTGATATCAAAAAGATGCTTGAGTTTCTGATTGTCAAAATCTATGTGGTTTTTGAAAACTAAGTTTTCCAACAATCTTTCGGAATTCCATTGGGTACCAATTGTGCCCCGATGTCAGCAGAGCTATATTTGTATTCATATGAAGTAGAATATTTTCAAAATCTTTTACATGAGAAGAGGAAAACACTTGCTGTGACCTTCAGCTCGACATTTCGATTTTTTGAAGACGTATTATCAATTAACAATTGTTATTTCCATTCACATGTCGACACTATGTTTCCCAGAGAGCTTGAAATAAAAGATGTACCACATAGTCTGACACATCTGTTTCATATTTGGATATTTTACTTGAAAAAAAAATTGTTATTGGTAACCTAGCAAACAAGCTTAATGATAAACGTGATGACTTCTACTTTTGAATCGTCAACTTCCTTACTTATGTAGCAATATACCCTTATCACATGCATATAGGATTTATATCTTTCATGTGATGCGATGCGCAAGAGCATGTTCTTCGTACGAGTGATTTCTAAAACAAGGCAAATTATTGACTAACAAGTTGATGAAACAAGAGTATCAACAGTCTCGTATAAAGTCGTTTCGCAAGTCCTATGATGTAAACTATCATGAAGTCAAATACTGATGGACGTTTTTCATACTTTTTATTATGCCATTATTCACATACTAAATTGTCTATGGATTTTTCCGTTATTTTCTGGTCATGATAAATAGCACACGGCGATCTGCAGGGGATGCTCACTCCTCCATGGCACTTTATCATACCTCTGATGTTTGAGAGCTTCGTGTTTGCTCTGCTCCTGATTTGTATTCTTTGGATGAACTTTTGAGCTTGAATACTGTTTGTTATCTCCATATATTTCATGTGTGTCCTTAACTAACTTAATATCAGAATGTCTGAAATACTGAAAAGCACGATATTGCTTTACTAGGTCCCTTCCTAATATAGTCAAAGGTGTCATTGTAATTATTCACTGATCTTTTTCAGGCTCCTATCACAATGAAGTCAGTGGTTCAGGCAGCTTGGTTGATGACTACAGCTGTGGGAAATTTGGTTGTTGTTATTGTTGCTCAGGTTCAATACTTTACATCACAAGTAAGATTCTCTATTGATACTCACTCTCAATATAACTTTTATAAATTTACAACAATGGATTTTTATTTAAATAAGTTTAATTTAGGTGTTTTCACTACTAAGTATAATATCAGCTGTGATGTCTTTTTCACAGGTTGCTGAGTTTATGTTCTTTGCTGCTCTGATGGCCTTGGCTACCATAATATTTATGATCATGTCGTGTTTTTACACCTACTGTAATACCAGTGTTCAAGGAAATGGTCTGGGGGATAAAGAAGAATTAATCATCGAGAAAGATAGTGAAGACATTCCATTGAAAGATTCTAATCATCCTAAAAATAAGTGAGCGTTCAGACATCTTCTCACCTTTTAGGACTGAATGGTCCTGATAATGATAATTGATAAACAAGAGGCCCACGGGTCTTATAGGTCACCTGAGTATCGTTACAACTTTCCAACAAATGAATCTGGTTTGTGTTTTAAACCAGAGGACATGAAATTCACAATTTTGAAAGAGGCACCATTTCTCATTATAACTATATACTTGGAATGCTTACTTTAATTAATACCCATAGACAAAGCAGAGGAACAAAAAAAAAATGTACATTTCCACCATATAATCAGTAGTGCCCCATCCCAAAGGTACCCCTAACCCTGGGGTTCAAAGCATTAATTTATTTTCAGTATATAATCATTAACACTCCCCAAGCCTCCAAGGGCCTTGAAATTCATAATTCTGAAAGAAATCTACAATGCAGGAATATAAAACGTTATGCGTAGTGAATGCGTGTCGGTACTATTTCTCCTCTCTATTTATTTTCCAATTCCATATATAAGACCTTTGGTCATCCTCACGGGCTGTTTACATCAATTAGTATGTCAAAATTTCCATTCTTGTGCGCATGCCTCTCAAAGGGATTGGTTTAATTAAAAGGCAAACGATAAGCCGATGTATTTGATACAATTTCACTTATTAATGAAGTTATGCATATACTTCATGTATTTTATAGACTTATTTAAAATGTACAAAAATCAGATGTCAAAATAAAATATAAATTTTGAATCCAGACTTTGTGTATAGTTTAAATCGTTTTTATACAGCTTATTGGGAACAGTAAGTTGATGGAATCTGACTACAAATGACAAAGGCCAACTTTAAGACTAAATTGTATGACAAAAAGATGACCAGCTTTTCCACCGTTACTTTCCATCTTTAAATAGTTATGTACCGCTATCACCTGCATATGGTTTTTATGTCTTCCAACTGAATCGCTACTGAAGAGCATGCTCTGAGTTCGATAAACTCTTAGACTGAAGTAGGCTACTCATACATAAGTTGATGTTACAAGGATTTCAACAAACTCGGTTCAACTCAGCATTTCGTAAATTCTATGGTCGTTATAACGACCTTATTAGCAAATTTTATATATCTAATCACTGGGTTGTAGTTTGGCTGACTTGTTTCATACCAATTCTTAAGCCTTTGTTGTTGTACTCAGTTTAACTTAAGAATGTTCTGTCTACTAGATCAATACATAGGAATCACAGCGGGTATGACCGGTCAACCGGGGATGCTTACTCCTCCATTGTTCTTTTCTTCGTTTTTATTCATTATGCTCTCCGAAATGAAAAAAATGAAGATAACGAAAAGTGATCGATCTCACCATCCTGTAATCAATAATGATCGGGAGCAGGGAAAAGAAACCCCAGCAGTAGGATCAGGCCTGGAGCCATAAAAGTTAGATGAGCTCACTTTTGATCTCAATCTCAAGTTTCTACTATTAGTAGTCCTTTGTAAAAAGTGAGACTGAGATCAAAAGTTGGCTCATCTAAGTTTTATGGCCCCAGGCCAGGTGCCTAGGAGGAGTAAGTATCCCCTGCCGACCAGTTACATACCCTGTAAACCGTTTGCATTGATCAGCTAAGTGTTGAGTAACACTTCGTCAAAACTGATATAAAAGCAATGGTCTATACTCTATAGCAACTGGTAGAAAACAGGTACGTCAAAAACGATCCGAGGACATGTCTTATTCGCAAACAAGGTCATAATAATGACCATAGAGTTTGAAAACTGTTGACTTTAAACAGGATTGTTGAAAGCCTTTTAAAAAAGATACAGTATATATATATATATATATATATATATATATATATATATATATATATATATATATATATATATATATATATATATATATATATTAGGGATGTCAACGAGTACCCGGTTAACCGGGTACTCGATCGAACGTTCGATTATCGAATACTAAAATCGGTACTCGGTTACTCGGATTTATATTTTTGAATATTTCTAAGCTTATTTATTAATGAATTAAACAAATCTGTTTTAAAAGGTAAAATACTCATTGCACTTGTACATGCAGTAATTAGGGTTTCCTACTCCTCTAAATGACCGTTATCGCCCGTGGCAGTGTTTATACAGTAATTATCGTGACCAAGCGCCTGTTACCTGGCTTTTCTCACCTTCGGCTGTCTTCTACCCTTATTTTTTGATTTTCTTTAATTGTTTGTTTTCACTGAACATCTTTTAAGGTCTGTTATGATTAAATAAATTAGATAATTTTGTCAATTCTCCGAGAAGCCGTAATTTCTCGGGAATAGAGACAGATGATATTACACGCGCGCGACTGTTGATATGGTTGTGTTTCATTACATGCCAATACATGCATGTACAAATAGTTAACGGCAAAGGCTCAAACAAATTATGTCCATCATTGCACCAAACTACAAAATACCATACCGTGATACTATAAAATCTCGGCTCTGTTAGAACTTGGTCAAGTTCAATTCAAACTGTACGACTGATATATACAATGTAACTTGACGTCAAATGCAACAAAGAGTTGCATTACAATTACGGAGTAGATAATTTTTTTTTTAAACAAAAACACCATGAACCACTTACGATTTTATTTCTTGTGTTTATCTGATAAATAAATTGAACTTAAATAATTGTTGTATTAAATTTCGTCGGGCACGAAGATCTAATCATTGTTGCAACAGAAATGCATTTACGTGTAAACCTCCTAACAGAGCATGTGGTTTTATTTCTACAAGTGTTTACCGTGTTTTTTATTCATCAATTTACTTGTTCATATTTATTTACACTTTTACCGAGTACCCGGGTACTCGATCGGAAAAACGTTCGAGTAACCGAGTAATAAAAATTGACCGATTTGACATCCCTAATATATATATATATATATATATATATAGTTCGAGCTTCCCTAGTCCCTACCTAAACTGGATTCATAAACTTAACGTATGTCATTCGTTAAATTGTTAAGTCAAGGATTTTTTAGAAGAATATTTTTGATAAGTACTCCTATAGTGTAACTCAAAATCGCAGAGAAAATAGGTGGTCAGTGTGCATCTTACTGATCTACGGTATAATTAAGTTGACCTTTTTGCACTTAAATTTTAACTCTTTGGTTAATTTCTTTAATCTTTATTATATTTTATGAGATATAACCATGGCAATAAATAAAGTCTTATTTTACCTAAAATGGTTTGAAAAATATTAAAATTTTATCATTGAAAAAATCTTGCAAAATAATGCGCGTAATTTTTTGTGTGACCTTATTGCACTAAAAAGTAGAATGTTTAGGGGTATTAAAAACTAAATAAGCAATAAAACATTTTCTTATATTATACTTTCATGTAAATTACTTGAATCTGATTCGTCGAGAAACATTTGCTAAAAAACACTACTACCCGCTGAATAATGAAGCCACGCCCTCCTGCGTAGCAACAGTCAACATTGCTTGACGACGGGTGGTATTCCAAAAAATAGCGACTGCGCAGAATTTATGCGCGCACGGTTCACTGTAATATGTATTTGTATAAAACATTCAGTATAATATAATAAATATAGCATGTAGTTGAGTGTAACATTGAAAATTTTCACCCCTCGAAAACCATTGTCAACCTCGGCTGCGCCTCGGTTGACAATGGTTTTCTTGGGGTGAAAATTTTCAATGTTTCACTCAACTACATGCAATATTTATATAATATCAAACTTTTTACGACTTAAGTGCTGATCAGTCACAAGTATTGAGTACCTTAAAATAATGAAAGAAAAAGTTGGGGTCAGTGATGTTAAGGTAGGATTCTTCCTACATTTCTTGTACTTAAAAATTAATGAAATTTTCACAGAATCATGAGGACAATATCACTAAGTGATGGTATCAGTGAGATTAATTTTGACCGTTTAATATTAGAGGCAAGGTCAGGTCAAGGTCATTACCTTTTTCCTAGACATTAAGAAAAAAAAATTACTGTTTCCGATCATGCGATCCCTACTTGTAATTCAAAATATTGAACTTTTTCTGTTTGCATAAAAAGATATTACCATATAGGGACTATAAGATGATATTACCAAATTGACATGGATAAATTAAATAAAATGGATATTTGCTAATCCGAATTTCCTCTACTTTTCATAAATTTTTAGGATTTATTAGTTATTTTTATATGCTTCCTATATTCAACTTTTTCCAATTTTCACACATAGTAAAGTTGTCACATAAAGGTACAAAATGATACAAAAACTAAAAGTTTTGATCGTTTACTAAGAGAGAAATAACACTTTTTACGGATTTTTGGCTCAAATCTGTACTTAGATTTGAAGCATTTAAAAGCCAACATAGTTCTAATATGTTTTAAAAAATCTTATTTATTTGATATATTTTGAGAGTTTAGTCCCTCATTATTAATTTAACTTACATTTGAAAATGTCGTCTAGTCTTTGATTGCGTAAAAATTATAACTAAATTCAATGTTCTATGATAATTTTGAGAGGCAGAAAAGAAGATATTTTCATACGCCACCATTCCGCCAAAAATATAGTCCCTGCTAGTTTTCAAACGCAGTTTACCATTTCTATTTAAAGTTGTATAATTGCGATGAGGAAAGAAAAATATGGTCTTTTAAATCTCTTACATCTAAATATATAAGACATATCAGCAAGTGTACTTTGAATATTCCATCTAGTCAGAAACCAGAGAAGAATCCTACCTTGATTTTGAAATATTGGTCAAAATACGTGATTTTCAGGCGAAAAATGGTGTAAATTTTATCATGATTTCTGTAACATATCTTCATAATTTGGCAACGTTTGTTGAGGGAAGGTGTTAAACTTGTTATAAAAATATAAATTAAGACCTATATTAAATATTTTTAGCAATATCTTAACGGAAAATATTCTCCGAGTAAAAGTATATAAGGCTAAAGTTCCACGATGTTAAATTTAATAAATGTGTAGATTTGTAGAATTTTCTGGTTAATATCCTTCCACCACAAAAAAATAGTCCGTCATAAATCTTGCTCCTTTACAGGTTTTTGAGCAGTTTTTTCGCTGAATGTTAAAAAAATTACATTGTTGAATTTTAATATGTCATAAAAATAGAATTTTTATAAATAGTTTTGAAGTGAGAGGTTCTGCGTGAACTTTTCTAAATAGTTGACGAGTGACATACCTTAATAAAAATTCATAAACATTTTGATTCCTCGACACCAGAATATAGGCTCGGATCTGTGATTTTGGATATTGCAAAAGCATAGGCTTTTTAAACCGCACCTTATACTGATGAAAATACAGCTAAAAGAATCTTTTCCTTAAACTTCAATATGCCAATAATGATTTGACGCGGTTAATGTAAGTAATATATTCTTAATCACAAAAGGGTCCAGTCTTGTATTCTACAGTATTTAAAGTTAACGACTACACCTTGTATTTCCTACAAATATACATCGACCATTGCTTCCAAACTTAAAACTTCACATGGCAGGAAATCAAGTATCTGAACCATAATTCTCCATCGTGTTCATGTTTTTCTTCGTCCTATAACTATAGTCCTGCTGGACACGTTATTACAGATGACGTAAATATATTTAATAATGAGTACCTTAGATCACTTATTTAGTTAAAAAAAGGTCCTAAATACAGGGAACCCCGATCCTTCAACTGGCGTCAGAATTTCATAAATATTATGGATGCTTATGGAACGCCATCAC